AACGTCAATTTTTCTTTAATAACCGAGCGCGCTTATAAAATGCAATTTTCGACAAGCTGAGCATTTGTCGTTCTTACGTTTGGATGTACTTTGTACTTGAGTATCGATCGAAGTTTGCGAGATACGCTTCTTCCCTCCCCCTCCCTGCCACTTTCTCTCTCTCTCTCTCTCTCTCTGTACGACTTTTCCGACGCAAATTCGGAATAACCTCGGAAAATGCAAGCGTCTCCAGAAGTGCACACTCTGAATATAATATAACTCCCGCGGCGCGCGCGGAGGAAGCTTTTCTCCTACTCCGACGAACCGACATCTGACTTCTCGTGTGTCACAAAAGAGAGAGCTACGCCGGAAGCCGTGTGTGCACGTGAGGCTCGCGGGCAGATTTCCGTGTGGCGCTTCGTTTGAAGTGGTCCCAGGTCCCATTCCAACAGTCAGTTTCGGTCTAGATCCAGCGTAAAGTTCGGCTCCGATGTATGCAGATGCGCGTCGGGTCTATAAACGGCTCTACACACGGCTACTTACGAATACATCGAGTAACGTTTTCAAGCTTAACCCGTATTCGTCTACGTAAAGCCAACTAATCCTAGAACGCATCTGCGGTCTTTATCTAATTTGAAAGTCATACAGAGTATTGATCGAGGTGTTGTATAATTTTCTTGTTTCGCGTAAAATTAGTGTCAAGCAAATTTAATATAGGAAGTAAATAATAAAATCAACATTTTCCAATATTTGTTCAATAATATATAAATATATGAAATAATAAGAAACAAGAAATTAACTAAAATTATTTCTCCAGGCTACCTCTAAGTTTTACCATATAATTCTCCTTTTTTAAAAAAGAATTTTTCCATTATAATTCAAAGTCTAGTTTCCTCTTTTGTCAAGATTAAAATTAAGTAGAGAGCATCACACATGATACTAGACCAGAAGAGATAAATGTACCGGAACGGAAAAAATAAACAAACCGATAGGGATACATCAGACACGAGAAGCACTCTCGTACATATACATCTCCTCAATCGTAAGACAATTTCCCATAATTCCGTAATTAGCTTTTCTCGCTACTCCACTCGTGTATATCAAAGCGGCCAAAGGAAAGCCTGTTACAAGTTGACATAGATATACCTTTATCCTACGGCGACGCACGCTCGGATGCTTTTTGGGGATAGTGTACCGATTCAGCTAATGCACATTATGCACACAGCGCGCGTCTCGTGCACGGGCTAGCAAAGCCCAACCGACGACGACGTCGCTGGTGCGCGACGCAGCTTGCGTAACGCACACGCACGGTCGCAACGCGACGCGACGCCACGCCACGCCACGCCACGCCGGCTGACCCATATGTGCGATCTTTATTTAAACTGGTTTCCTCTTCGGCGTCCTTTAGACCCGACTTTCGTGTGTGCTCCGGTCGCCGGGTCACCGGATTCGAGCGCGTCACTTTCCGCGAACTCCGTAGCTCGGAAAAGGTCGGTACATACAAGGTGTCGCGCGAAGAGCAAAACGATAAATTTTGGATTTAAAAGAATATTGTACGAGCGAAACAAGTGTTTTATTCACGCTTGACAAATAGTTCTTTCTTCGTATAATTGTTACTATCGCTTTAATAATTTTTCTTTTTCTTTTCATCAAGTTTCTTCGAGGAAAATTTCATAGATGATCCACGATACATTTTCCATGTGACATATATATATATTCTCTTATTCAAAAATAGGATATTATTTTTTAGGATAAAATAGTGTTTAAAAAAATGACGGAAATAATTACGAAATGACTCGACTCTTTGCATCGACTACGATAAAGTTCGAATTTATTTGCGGTCGACTTATAGAGCCGCAAGAATTTCAATTGTAAATACGTCGACTTTGATACCGAAGGGAATGACGAGCCGCCGAGACGAGCGCTTTTTAAGCATCGACGCGAACCCGCCTCGTCAAATATTCTTGTTTCTCAAACGTGCGCAAAGTTTGAATAATACAACACTGAGAGATAGAAAGAGAGGAAAAGAAAAAAAGAGAAAGAGAAAGAGGGAAAGCGAAAGAAAAGTAGCGCATAAAAAGAGCAATATGGAATAAAAATGCATCATTGCGTTTCCATCGATCTCACCATTTACGTGTCGGTCGTAGGGATTTTATAGTCTCTTTAGAATTAAAATAACGATTAAAGAAAGTAAATCAATTATAATTTATAATTATAAATGTTACCGTCTGTATATATCCTACATAGTATTTTATATAAATTGAAATGTTACGACGCGATGAAAGTATTTTATTTTATACATTTATTTTTATATATAAACTCTTCCATATTTTATTAAGTTGTTTTTATTTAAAAAATGTTAATTTGTTTATTTTACTATATATTATTTATTATGCTACAAATAATCGCTACAGTTCTAATAATGCTTGCCTTATCTTGATTAGCTGTTTGCCGGCAAGCATATAATTTATAATAGTCAAACATAGGCTCGATATTCCTCTTAATTACGTTCGCATAATATTCCGGATATACTCAAGTAACGTTGTGATACGAGATCGCTCATATCAGATTTCGCAACTTCTAATCGAACAAGCGTTGCAAGCATAGCTTTATTTCTGGTTGTTTGTACGCTACGGTAAGACAATTTGGCTTTATCATGACGAATTGCAATATGATCTGAAAAAATGACTCTTTCCTTTCATCGAGCCACTCACATGTCTATTTTTTTACAATGATTGCATTACAATTCACATGCAATGAGACAGTTGTCAAACTTTGTGGTCACTTACATAACATATTATTTGTCGATTTAAATGTCACGATAAACATTGATACTTTCTATCGAGTTCAGAGAATTTTTTATACTTTGTATATCTCAATAGAAATCATATTATAGGAATTCAGAGAATTTTTAGAATTTTTATTCTGCATTTTGTTATGTCTTCATATTTTCTTTTTTATATCAAAATATTAATTTTAAATTATATAAAAGTGAGCATTTTACTAACATTTCTCATCTATCATCCAATCGGCTGACGTTAAATATCTTTGATACCCTGTAGAATGTGGAACACAAATTCGCAGGGTGGTCTTTTTGCTTATAGTCTTCGTAATCAACGCGCATTCCCGTAGGACTCTCGGAGCTGTTACGACCGATATACCGTTGTCGCGACAGCGCAGCAGATCGGGGAGACAACTTCGTAACCAGCCGGGTTGTTCTCTCTCTCGAGAAGACGCAGCACGAATTCTCGAGGTTCTGCAACGATGCAAATGCGTGGTCGTATTCCCAAATCGATCGCGACAACGGCAACGAGAACGTGTGCGAAAAGGATGCGTCCCGAAAGCATCCCGTTGAATTTCGAACCGATTCTCACCATTCCGAATGAGTATGTGAATTCCGGAGACGGTCGCGAAAACTATGAATCGTCGCGTGTGTCTCAGCTTCGCGTACAATTCCCGAGAGAAGGGTACCGGTTCCTAGGAAATTATCGTCATCTCGCGTGTCTCACGCTTCCAGCAGTAGCATCATCGTTATGCAAACATCAAGTTTCCACGGATCACGCACGCATTCAAATGTCAGGTTTCACGATATTTCATATCTTCGAAAAAAAAAAGAAAAAAAGAAAGAGAGAGAGAGAGAGCGAATTATTAAATGGCATTCTATTAGAAAAAATAAATTTTGTAGTATTTGCAATTAAATATGATATATTTGCAATTAAATAAAACGAATTATATTTTTTATTTTAAGAAAAATATAATAAAGCTTTAAAAAAATCACGCGATGAACGAAAATACATCGATTGAATTACGAAAAAATAATACTCTACTAAATCAAACAGAAAACAAATTCGTAATAATTTTCATTCTAATATTTATATTTGATTTTTTCATCATATATACACGCGTATCAAATTCTTTTCAAACTTAGCTTAACGGAGTATTTTTGCAGAGAACACTAGAACACCATTATTATATTATCGGCTTCACAGAGAGTTGAAATTTCAATTTAAATTTAAGGTATTATATTACTATCGAGTTTTCCATATTCATATAAGCGTGTCGGCTTATATATATATATAAAGTTCTTTTACAATAAAAGTTGCAGCAACTCTACTAAGGCTCTACTAATTCGTTAAATCTAATGCGCGTACGCGTACGTTTATAATAAAACCGTGGCCGTATAAACCCACGCGTTTCTGAGCTCTATCCGACGAACTCAGGGGTCTGTTAATGCAGCGGGGGATTAACAAGCGCCTGGTCGAAGAGGGCTGACTCTCTCGTCCCTTAATCACAACACTACCAAATGTTACTCGGCGATAACTGTATTAGGCCCGATAAAATACCAGACTCTGGCTTCCCGCTTGTTTGCCAAGCCGAAATGTCCCGCTACGCAAACATTCGCGCAGATCGTACAACTCTCTACCTTCTTTCCTCCTCTTCCCCTGAAAAAGTCATGGTCGCACAAGTGGCATTATGGAATTATTAGCGGACGGAAGCTGTGCAGGCGTCTGCCATATCGGAAGCAACTGCCTACATATTTGATGAACGACGCGCACGCATTACCGTCACCTTTTTCAATATCGTTCCCATGTGGTCTCGATACACGAGCATGCATAAAATTCTATCTCGGAATCAATACCTTTTGACGGGAATATCAAGATTCCTTTCCCCAAACAATTGTTTCTTGATATATACACTACGACGTATTTCTTGTACAAATTCACATTTCAATGCGTCGAAAAGATCAAATGCGCACAGCAACAATTATAATGATGTAAAAATAAAGTATGAATTATTAATAAATTATTAAATTGCTTTACGCGAGATTTCTCGCTTCTTTAATCATGGCTCGACTAAAATACGCAAGTCGCAACTATTAACAGAAATTATCGACAAATTATTCACGGTCTGCATAATTTAAAATGAACGCAATCACTCGAGGTAATATCCAGTTATTAAACGAAGCGATACTGCGCGCATTGCTTTTATCGCCACATATTAATTTAACGTTGGCTACTCACCGAGTTAATGGCTGTCATGTTGCTAACTCGACCTGGATCTGTGTCCACTAGCCCGCTGTCACTCTGTAACGGAAACAGGAAAATAGCAAATTAGAGCGGAGAAGATCGATAATTTCTATTTCATTGCTATTTACGTTGCACTGAATGTCGAGTAAATTGCTATCGCGCGTTAAAGCACATTGACATTCAAAGGAAAGGAAAAGAGACATTAAGAGAAAATCCTTTCACGTCGTGTTTTCGAAAGCGTAGAGGCAAATAATTTTCAGATGTAAAATTGCAAGCGACGCGAACTGTTAACAATTTCGGAAATGCAATATTGTGGAAAGTGTACAGCATTCATATGAAAATTATTCGCGCTGTATCCCGACCGTATTCAAAAGCTGAGTGCACTACACCATCCGCTATGAAATTTTCTGTAATCACTCGCCGCTAGAACTGTGTTTCATCAAATATGTGCTGTTTTCCATGTTAGTTATTGCTTTATGATGAATTAATCGAGATCTAGCTTCAAATTTAAACAGATATAGAAAGTTTGCAAAAATTGCAAAATAAAATATTAACAAACACATTACATTTAACATAAATTAATTTCCTTTTTATCAAATATTTCAACGCGTTGCAAATGAAGGTGATTTCTTACAGAAAAGGAGATATTCCAAATCGTATTCGACAATATAGTTCGGGATGCATAAAGTACGCGGAAATATGATATCGGACGGAAATGAAATATTTCGAACAAATGCATCGAACGCTCTGTGACATTTTTCCTCGTCATTCAACGTATTAGATATTCTTTACATTCCGTGTATCGCGTATATTTTACGAGAATCGCCTGTGTTTTTTTTTGCGATTGCTAGCATCCCACGCGTTCAATCTCGCGGCCAGCGAAACGTGATCCCTCGTCGAATTCATTCGCTTCAGAATTTTTACCGAAAATGTTCGAGCTCGCCATCGCTGGCGACGAATCTCTTCTAGAGGACATCGGGATTACCGAGACGGAAATTCTACGGTAAAGAAACGATGGTCGAGTCATTCCAGCGAAAAGGAGAAGAGACGAAACGACGATGAGAGAAACTGGCCTTTCGAAGGCCTTCGCCAGTTTCTCTCATCGTCGTTTCGTCTCTTCTCCTTGCAGTAAAGAAATAGTACAAAGGGCGATGACGACGACGGCGACTACGAAACCAAAACGAAAGAGCCGACGTGTAAATGTCGTTCTGAACTTTGATCGTAAAACAGCGGCAGACTTCTCGGGTGGGTGGAGCATCCGTCTTGAACCGCTGCCAAATCGGTTAAGCGCGAATAAATTTCCGTGTCAAACTTCGTACGAAGGAACGAACGTACGAAAGAGCCGACGCGACGGTTCCGCATGTCGGGCAAGGTTGGACCCGCGCTACAAAAATGGGACGGTGGCTTTAATGTCTGTTTGGACAAAAGAGAGTGGAGTTATAGTTAAGTAAAAAAAAAGAAAAGAAAGATAGGAAAAAATCGATGTCCTCTAATAATATCAATTGTTATGCAATTTATGACGGAGACATTCTCAATAAAATTTTGTTACATTTTGAAAAAGATAATCTCATAACAAAAATTATATACATATTAAAAACGTACTCATCAAAATTGCAAAATCTCGATATGACTTAATACTGGTAAAACTTCTTTATAAAGTATTATTATTTTTAGACAAGTTTACTTGAAATAAAAAAAACTTAGACGAGAGAAATGGCGTTATTTTAAAAAAGCAATGTATTATATATACTCAAATGTATTTAATTATAGATTTATGTAATAAATTTACTCTCTTTCTCTCTCTCCCTTGTTTTTTCTCTTAATTATGCTTTGATAAAGCGTGCACCACGCTTTCGTACAGCCGTGTAACAAACGGTAATAAAAACCAAAGGTACGGCACACCGGGAGAAATTTCCCTCGAGTCATTCCGTCTCGAATAAAAGCTTGGTTTACATATTGTTCTAACGAGCAAAGAGCTCGCATATATAATGAATAAGCAGCAAACGTGAACGGGAGTTTCGCGCTACACCATTACGCGTCAGCGTTGCGAAACGCGTAGCAAAAAGACGCAACTGTCGGTTTGTCTAACTCTAACAGAAACAGACGAAGGGTAACCGAGGCATGACGGAGATTTAAAGGTGTCGTCCCGGGGCGCCCGAAGAATACAAAGTCGCGGAGCTCTCGGTTGGCGGCTAAAATAAAATGTCGAAAAGTCGTAAAGCGTATTATGACCGACCCATAATTTATGACGATGCGAAAACCGCCGTCGACTTTCCGCCACCGGATTCGTGGCCGTGTATGAATGTGCACATTGTCTCGCCGTGCAGTTTGGCCAGCCGATGAAATTTACGACAATCATTAATTATCGAAATAGAAATATTTTAAACGTTTGCTTTACAAAGAGTTCATTAGTAAATTTATTCTGTTGATTTTAGAATAAACTTTTACAATACTTTTGCTTAATTACACGTGACTAAAGGATTCAGAAATTTTAGGAACCAATAATTAGCAAATTGAAATGATAAAAATATTGCAAACGTAATAAATCACAATTAAATCAAAATCGATTTATCTCAATCTAATGCACGAGTCGATAAGATTACTTTTTCTTAAAAGCGTCAGCGAGAATTAATATTCTCGGCAAGCAAAGCGCAGGTCAACGCGCGAGCATCCTAATTTCGTTGGCGTTGTTTGGAAGAATCGATTCGACAACGATCCATTAACGATCCTGCGGTCAAACCGATTATGCAGCGTCACGAGGCGGAATCAGAATCCTAGAGAATGTCAACTACCACGCCACACTACTGAGCGGCATATACGTGAATGCGAAAGGTCGTCGGAGCTAGGCTCCGACAGTCGGGTGGGTCGAAGTTATGCGAATGTTATTAACGTTGTATCTAAATCCCTCAGCTATCCTCCGGAACGCGCGTCCTCGTGTCGCATCATAGACACGGAAATAGACACGATATGTGAATTAAGCGAACGGATGATGACTAGAACGCGGTGCGTCCTCTCGCCCTCGCTTGAATTTGCGGATAACCGTATCAGATATCCTACGCAAGAGATATCCACGAGAATCTCCATACATATATCGTGCGATACTCGGTTGTTAAAAATCCTGTCGGAGAGTTCATTTTTTAAACGGTTGTTTTGTTAAAAAAAAAATTCGTATAAAAAAGTTTAAAACAATGAATAAAACTCGCGATAAAATCGAATTCGTAAGATATATACAGGACAATAATGTAAAAAAATGGCAATAATTAATTTAGATCATCGAGCGCAACATTTGTAACTGTGGGGTATCTGAATTAATCGTACATTCGTGAAATACGAATCATTCCGGATTGCTGCAAATGAATATCGGATAACGCTGTGCAAATCTCGTTCGTGGCATATCCAATATTCGGAAATCGCGTTTTCCGGGTAGATTATACAAAGCAAACATTATAGCATTCAATATTGCGTAACACTCTCTGATGCACGGAATAAAAAGCGCCGTTAGAGAGTTACATTCATCGACGCTTCTAATAAAAAATTAAAGTCATTAATTATGTTAACAATTAAGAAATGTAGAAATTAGTATATAACTATTCATAGCGTACCAATTCAACAGTCGTAACGTTGAACTCTGGTTCGTTTACTCAGCGAGCTTCGAATCGGAACGGACGTTTCCAGTGGAGTGGAAGAGAACAAGAGAAACGAACTATCGCCATTTTTCAATATTAAGAAGGTCTTATGGATGATTTAAATAAGCTCGAGAAAGCTCGGCAGTATGCGGCCTGAAAAGTCGGACTTCTTCGATTTATGGGAAGACGTCAGAGACAGCTTAGAGTCTCTCTCTTTACGTACTCGCATTTAAACCTCGCTCTATATCTCCGTTGTTTCTTTTTTTTGCTTTTTGCTACTTTTCCTGGTACTCGTCTTTCCTCGTTTTTATCGGTCCTCGTATCGCACAGCGATTGAACACGCGAAATCGTAAAAACTAAAGTTCACTAGTGTAAGCTTGGTCGAAACCGCATTGTTCGTATAAGGAAGCACGACTTTCGTTCGATTCTCCTTGTAATTTGTTCATTCCTTTCAATAACATACAAAATTTATTATTTAAAGAATTTATTTTATTTGGAATTTACTTTTATTTTCTGACGAAAAATCATATCGACGTATTAGAGAAGATAGTTTATTTTTTCTTGCATAATATTTTTCTTTTTATATTTTGTTTTTACATAAAGATTATTTTCAAAGTCTTACTTTATTCAAAAATGGAATATTATTTCATCTTTTTCAAGATCTCTCTTCTTTATATTATAGTCCTACATGGTTTTTATTAGGGTGTAACCGAAAAACTCAATTAAGACACGTAACATTTTTAAAATCGCAGAGCGGAATCGCATATAGATATTAAAAACTTTTCAAAGTGACGACAGAACGAACAACGTTCCGACAAACGGAAGTAGGAGCGGATGATTGATGGCCGACCGATTGCCATCCTCGCTGTGGAAGGCGAACGCGGGATCCTCGATAATTCAACGATGGTCTCTCGACACGCGCCGCGGGCGTTAAAAATAGGAAAGGAGACGGAGAGATTAAGCGCGAGGGCAGCGAGTTATCCGACATCGAATAACAAGAACTGCGGAGTCTCTACGAGCAACATGATGAAAAGTGGCTCTCCCTTTCCGGTTGCTCCCGTCCGATTCCTCACGAGCGCTCTTTAGCGCATAATTAAGCGGCTCCGCGTCATTCGTCACGGAGATTTCGCCAGATTTTAATTTAAAGTTATGATTCATAGAGACCGAGACAGCGCGGCTTTTCGGTCGAAGCGCGTAAAAGAAACAAGAAGAGAGAAGCTTTTCCGGTGAGAAACCTCGACGGTCACCGAAAAGAATGAAACCGAAGAAGTCTAAAGAATGCGAGAGAACGACGAAAAGAGCAATAAGACAGAAAAAGTAATGCGAGTTCTTGCAGACTTGCATATTTGCAAAATCTGGCAGTCGGAGTTTTAAAAATCCATGCAGGTCAATGATACCTAGTTGAACAAGCGCTAAAATTCCAAGGAAAAA